ACTCCACGACCTGCCACACATTATACATCCCAAAAGATAGAAAACAAGGACTGGGACAGCAAAGTTGTTTATTTACCTAAACAGAAGTGTTGGCTAACATTTATCTAGAACAAAGTAAACATTTAAATACTAAAATAAGTTTTTAAACAGTTTTGGAGGTGGGGTTTTTTTTTTGTTTGGATTTTGGTCTGTTGGGGGTTTTGTTTGTTTTATTTTTGGGGTTTTGGTTTGGTTTTTTAAAAATAATATTCAAAACAGCCCCAAACCCCAGCAGGATGGATTCAGGCTTTTAATGCTTCCTCATTGCCCCAGCTAATTTAGCATAGCACCTGAAGAAGCATTTCCTTTATTCAGGAGATGTATTTGTTCTGGGTTTTGGTGGTTTGGATTTTTTTAAGGAAGCATGATACTTTTTTTCCATTTTAAATAGAGATGAACTGTGCTGGGAAACACAAACAGCACATTTTTGTCCCTCACATTCATAGCAACCAAATAGCAACCTCAGAAATGTAAGGTTTTCTTTGTTATTTACTGAAAGTAAGAAAAAATAAATAAAGGAGCTTTGACCATGTCAAAACTAGTGCAGAGATTTTAACTGTTTGAAAACCATAGACAACAGCAGAACACAAGATTGTCTGAAGATGTAAGGAATGCATGTCCAAAAAGTTTTGTGCCTTTTCTGCCTAGGAAGGTTGGAGAGCAGTGTTTGTTTTCTTTCAATATCCTGTTCCCAAGGATGAAAAGTTCATATCCAAGAACACATGTAATTGATAAAACTAATACAGAGAAAGAAAACATCTGTATCTCCTTCAATGAAAGATAATATTGTTCAAACCAACGGGGACAGCAGAGACTGAAAATCTCTCCCGTACCTTACATCTTAGTAAAGTTTTGCTTTAGATCTTACCTGTTACTAAGTACAAATAAAAAAAAAAAAAACCAAAACACTCAGCTGCCCCTTGTGCACTTGTAGAAGGAAGTTGTGTTTCTCAGTCAGATTAAGCTGACCCTAAACTTTTCTTCCGTATTTAAGCTAACATGTTCTGAGGAGAAACTGCCTTTGTTTTTTGTCTCATACTGTCAATGCTTAATACTGCGCTCAATGAAAGCTAATCATCCAAGCCACCAGTGCTGAATCTCAGCCCTCAGTTTCCCTTTTAAACTGGAAGTTCGGGGGGAGGGAAAAACCAACAAAACCCCACCACATAGATCAACACCAAGACACTTTACTACTAGGGAAACCCAGCTAAGCAATTTATTTTAAGGCCACAGTCACTACTGCCTACAGTTAACAAATATGGCTTCCAGTTTTCCAGGGAAAAATAAATTTAAAAAAGAAAAAAATAAACCTACCATCCATACACAATCCAGTCTGCTTTTGCTTGCTGCTCTCACTAGGTTAAGGCTGTTTCCACAGTCTTCAGGTGTAAAGAAGTAGTTAATGTATTACCTTGCATTCACGTGCTACAGGTCTATAAAACTCCAGGGAAATCACTGCACTCAGAGTAACAGATTCTGCAATTCCCTGCCCCCTCCAATAAATAAAAAAATAAATAAATCTGTCAGGGGACCAAGTCTCTAATTCACAGAAGTGCAAGTATTACGCAGGGTGTCTGGTGAATCTGATCTCAAATTTCTTTAACATTGGTTAGAATGTGAGACCTGGGATTTTGCTCTTCCTCAGGAGAAGAGGGACAGAAAAAAAAAATGAGCAGCTGAAGTAGGAGGCTGGTTGAGTAGCTATGCATGAGCTACTAGCAGCCTTGCTGTCCCTAACCCATACCAGAAGATGTCTGATGTCAGAGTTGACTTTTTTCCCCTCTCCCTTTCTGTGTGTAAACAAAAACATAGATCTAAACGACAGTTACCTAGTGCGTGATATTTATAACCATTCAAGTACTGAAACAAAGCAACCTCTTTCCACAGTGCATGAAAAAAGAAGCTTCTGATCATTTGCTTCTTGTGCTCCACTGTAGAGAAAGCAGAAGCCTTTTATTAGCATTTACCAGAAGACAGAAAGAAGTTGCTTGTTTCTAACAGGGAACTCTTACAACACCTATCATTACTACACACAATCTAGTCCTATAATCTTCTGGAACAGGTAAAAGGAAAGCACTCTCCAAGTTTTCAGAGTGCATCTCTAGAAAATAAAAGGAGGGAGGGAGGAAAGGAGAAAGACCGTATTGCAGATGTGTATAGTGCTAGTAGTGAAGTAAGTGTGATTGATAATACTGCCATTTTAGAGAAGACAGCTCAACAGTAACTATTTTTGTGGACAGAATACTACTAACTACTTACACTGCACAGAAAAAAAAAACTGCTTAAAAAAAGAAGATAAATAGGCATCTATGCTAGGAAAAATACAGTTAATTTGAGAATAAATGAAGGATTCCTTTTTAGTGGAAATGGTAGCAGATGTCTCATTTCAGTCTGAAAACACCTGCTTCATATGTATTTGAAGTTCCTTCACAAAAAAAAATTGGCTAAATGATTGCAAACCTTTAAAATCCTGATCTTCAGGTTTTTCAACAGTTGTTTTGCGCAACTGTCCGCATAAGTTCTTAAAGCAGAGGGCAGCCAGTTTCCATTCTCATTGTTTTTTCTATCAAGGCTGCAGCCAACAAAACTAGGGTTTTGTTTTGGTTTTTTTTTTTACACGCACTTAACAACACACTCTGGTGCAACCCCACAGAGCATCAGTGACTTGCAACATATCTGTCAATAACACTTCAAAATCCAGTTGAATGTCTGTTTTAAGTTTTTCCTTTTCACACTTTAACATATGTATTCCTTTTACAGCAGATTTAAAGGGACACATACACACAAACCTGCTTATGCTTCAGGTTTCCCTCTGCAAAGGTATATGCAAAACTTGTTATACAGTATTTTGCCTTCAACTGATAACACTGACCTTAGATCTTACATGTTACGATTTAATAAAGGGTTATTTTTTAAAGCAACAGATTCAAGTATGATTTAATGAAAGAATGTTAAGAAAACAGTTGAGACTGCTGATTCTCTTGAAGAATTACACAGAAGAGAGAAATTTGACCCAATGGACAAGTTCTGCTCTAGCTTTTCCATTCTGCTGAATGATTTAATCTAAGGCAATAGTCAAGGTAAGGCCAGCTTAATGATGTTTCACGCAGAATTAAGCCTTTCTGCCCGATCATTTCACCTAACCCAGCCAAGAACTGTAATTTCTTGCACTTGTCTGCTGATGTATACAGTATCGCATGCAGAATCAAAGGCTAAGTACACTTACTAAACCTGTTTATGTTTAAAATTGAATCAAGTCAAATTGCCTATTATTACTCCTTTCTCCTGAAGTTATGAGAAAAATGTTAAACTATTTTCATGGTAAAGCACAATCTCTGATTGCAAGGAAGAATGATTATATGCAACATCACAATCTACGTAACAGTTATTCAATTAACCTTTTATTTCTGACACTGAAGTATGAGGAAAAAAGTCCAGTTACATAAGTATTATGCAGTAGTCATCTTAATGTTGGAGGGCATTCCAGGAAATCCACAAAAATAGTGTACCATTCTCCCCAATGGTATTTAATGCTGAACATTTGGATTACATCATTCTCATCAGATACTGAAACAGTTGTACACTATCCTCATTTCAGCTAGGACAGAGTTGATTTTCTTCCTAGTAGCTGGTATAGTGCTGTGTTTTGGATTTAGTAGTAGAACAATGTTGATAACACACCGATGTTTTGGTTTTTGCTGGGTAGTGCTTAGACTGGCCAAGGACTTCTCAGCTCTGCCAGGTGCATGAGAAGCTGGGAGGGGGCACAGCCAGGACAGCTGACCCAAACTGACAAAAGGGCTATTCCAGACCATATGGTGTCATGCTCAGTATATAAGCTGGGGGAAGAAGAAGGAAGTGGGAGACATTCGGAGTGATGGCGTCTGTCTTCCCAAGTAACCACTACGCATGATGGAGCCCTGCTTTCCTGGAGATGGATGAGCACCTGCCTGCCCATGGGAAGTGGTGATTGAATTCCTTGCTTTGTTTGTGTGCATAGCTTTTGCTTTACCTATTAAACTGTCTGTATCTCAACCCATGAGTTTTCTCACTTTTACTCCTCTGATTCTCTCCCCCATCCCATTGTGGGGGGAGTGAGTGAGGGGCTGTGTGGTGCTTAGTTGCCATCTGGGGTTAAGCCATGACAGTACTAATAAAGGGTTTTGACTGACTCAGAAGGTCACTAGTAAAGTTATAGTTATATATAGTTCTAAACCTGAAATAAAGGTAAACCTCTGCTTGATCCTGAAGCACAAGTGTGTTACACTGGCAATATCTGATGCATGACTGAAAGTATGTTGTCTTGATGAGGAACTCTGTCTTCCTCAACACAAGTTCATGCCAAGGACTGTACATAAAAGAACACAAATCAAAACCCAGAGCAGTGCTTCCTGCCACTGCATTTGGCTTTTCTTGAAATAATTGTGATGAGAACAGCAACTGCATTTCTGGCTCTTCATCCTAACATTCCTTCCAGCATGAGCGTAATCAAGTCAGTCCTGGACAGAGACTTGGAGTCTCCACTGTGGTTATTAACTGGAAAGCTCATTCACCGAATCACTCCTGGATCTCCCATCACCATGGTTGTAGGCTTATAACCATTACAAAAAGGCTATAGCCGATTTATTCCTCGAAAGGACTTTCAGATATTTTCTATCAAAAAAAGACAACTTCAGATACGGTTTTGTAGTAAATCCTCAAGAGTCTCATTAAACAGCATCCTAGACCAACATAACTGCTCTACAGCAGAACTTGAATAATGATGGAATGCTTTCTGTGTTGCCCTTTCAGTCTTAAAATTCTTCTTTTGCTACATACTATCCAATTGTCTTCCTATAAAACAATTGGTAGTAACATAGGAAAACATTGGCCTTTTTCCTTAAAATACGCTGATAAAATTCTAAATGAAAGAAACATCTGTATGGAATAAACTCATTTTTGTTTCCAAATGTCAACACTCATTGTAGGCAACAACCCGGGGCTTACTTTCTTTATGTAGCTAGCTCAAAGTTAAGGTAACATGAAAAATTCACCTTACAAATAGAGAAATAAAATGCTAGTTACAGATTAGTATGTGTATTAAACAATATTCCTTGCAAACTGATAAATACAGAAGGTAAAGTACCCACAGTACCAAAGATCGAGGATTAAAAGTGCAACTTATGTTCTGACCAAGGGTGTGATTTAAATATAACAATAAAAATGGCACATGTGTAATCTTTTCATTTTGAGGGAAATCAAATACCTTTTTTAAAAATGGACATTTTAAACTTATAGATGAGGCATAAAAAAATGAAAAAGTAATCCATATGTCAGAATTTATAAAGTAGTTTTGGAGAAAAACACTGATATTTTCCAAATTTACTGCATCTGCCGGTTGCCCAGCAACTTGAAGTCGCCAGGTGACAGCTCAAGGCTCCAGACTAGATGCAACAAAAGACTTGGAAAGCCTGAACTTAAAGCAGTTAATTATGAAGCACCTTACTCTCAGAACAGAATTCAGGAATTTATTATCATCCTTGTTCAATTCCTGGGGAAAACAAGGCTCCAGGGAACACAGTCTTAAACAGCCAGCAAAACCTTGCAGTGAGATGTAAACATAGGAATGATACATAATCCTGAATTTCTCTGGGGATTTGGTACGGCCCCAAAAGCAAAGGCTTCTGTTCATTTGGTACCTACAGTAGAGAATCCACTTGTGGATAGGGCAGCCAGCAAATACTCTTTCAGGGAGCATGACCATGCTCAGTAGAAAAGGTGGTGATGATAATCATATCTCCTGCAAGACCATCTTGCTGAAGGAAAGCATGTGAAAAGAATATCAAACACATGTATTCTTAAAAACATTATGCCAGCAGATGGATCCTGTCCAAAGCTGGTATGATTTGTGCATGGGAAAAAATGCAAACATTCAAAAAACGCTTTATCCTAGTTTAAACTTGGAACCTAGGTCTTATTTTATACTTCTCCTAATATCACATTGATGGTAAAAGGGTTCTTTATTCTTGACTGTGTGATGGAAAACACCCTGGTCTATGTGTGTCGAGGCTCAATTTTCAGGGCAAGTCCATACAGGTTATGTTAAGGTAATCACTAACAATCATTTTTTGAAGTTATCATAATAGAAATACAAGAACATAAACACAGCTATCATGGTTTTGACAAGGTCAAAGCTCAGGACAAATTTAAAGAAATAAGCCAAGTTTCATGTTAAAATAGAAACTAATTAAACTTGGTTTGAACATGGGTAGCAGTTCTTCCAACAATGCTGCTTTTCTCTTTTGCCAAGGTATGAATGGAAAATGAAGGCTTTCTGCTCTCTACAAGAGTAGGAGCAGTGGTAGGTTGAACAGAATAATTAAGAGAAGAAATTCCTTATGATAAAAACCTAAAAGCCAGGCCACCTCGTAGATGACCAAATAAAAGAGTCCCAGCACTCATGTCAACTCTGGAAATCAAAAAGGCTTTATTATCTCACAGGGAGAACATTCCTTCCACAGCACAGCAAAGGCATAGGAGCACAGTAAACATTTCTGCAGCTTGTGTTTGCTTGTCATCAAGAAGTGGGAACACCCTGTGCCCATTGACTATTTTGTTTTGTTATAGTTAACAATGAATTTGGGACATACCTCAGTAAGAACAGAAATCAGCCAGCCATATCAATTTTCAAGGCTCTACTTAGTATTCGCCAACTTACTGGCTTCAGCTAGAAATTTCTACACTATATTACACCTCATTATAATAAGGAAGCTACCAACTGCATCAAGAATAAATGTTACTTGTTGCTCCTTTTCATTCTCTCTCATAAGCATATCATGGCTTGAAGTTTAAAAACAAAATGGACAAAAAGTTCTTAAGGCATTTTGTTTCATTTAATTTATGTCTTCATCTGATTTTGTAAGCTTTGCAGTAAACAGCAATAAGTGGAAACCACAGATGCTTCTATTTGGGTTTTGTCTAGACAAATGTTGCAATAGAACAAGGTTAAGTCCAGTATAACCATTACTTTTGACATCCTTGATCCCTGGACTGACCCATTAAGTTAAGCTATCTTGGTATGCAGGCTAATTACACCTATTTGACTAAGCATACTTACATAAGTATCCAATTATAGCTTAAAACAACACTCAAACATGCACAGCCATCTGTCATAGAATGTATCTGTTGTTAAGGCATAATGGTGTGCTCAATTCCTTCCTTTCTGATACACTAAATATTTTTTGCTGCTACAGTGAAGAAAAACTGCCATAACAACTGTTTGGAGTACAATAACACATTACCTTGACAATTTAAAACATGAATTTACAAGACAATCTGTCAATATTCTCTAAATGCCCCCTCACATCAATATAATTTTTTTTAAACTATCAACTACAGATAATACTAGAACTAACCACTTGCCTACACATAAACAAAATAAAGTGGTTTAAAATTCTTCTACCTTCTCTTTTGAAAATACTGGTTAATGTAGTTTTCATTCTAGGCTAAACTATTAGCATTTCTGCCACTGAAAGATAAAATGACGTTTAAACATGTCTCGGGAGAATAGGAGTCAGTCAACAGAGTAGGAAAAGATAAATGCATGATGAGATATATTTAGAAAGCTCTATAATGACACACTGTTTTATGGTGGGAGGCATTAAAAACCCTAGTATTACTCACTACTTCTGACTACAGAACTGTGATATTGCTTTTACTGGAGTAAGACACAGTACCATCTGCAATTACCCGAGGAACTTAATGTTAAGTTAGTGATGACGACCATGGTACACATACCCAAAGATTCGGCCATCATTAGAATATATACCCACATTATCTGTGACTAAACACCTGCTATATTCTATTTTTTAAAAGGATTTCTCCCTTTACGACACTATTTCCTCCCTTAGCAAAGTGCTCTGTGGTCTGCAAAGTGTGATATCTGCAAGAAATCAAAAGTCTTTTCCTAACAATTGTGCCTGTAGATTCAAAGACCAGACCTTCTCAGTCTGGAAATAGCAAATGATAATACTATCTTTTCTATTGAGGGGCACTGTTCTCACTAGAACTTTTAGTTTGAGGAAATATAATCAGAAGTAGAAAACAGAAATTGAGAAAAATAACTAACAAAAGAAAACCAACTTTTTTAGTAAGATTTAAAATAATTGTTAAGGAGAAATAGCAGTAGAAATACCTGCTTCATTTTCTATAAATGTTTAAACAAGTCTGCTTAACAAATGAGCATCCATTATCATCATATATTCAAGTAAGGAATAATATGGTGAAAATCTATTTTACTGAAGGATAGGCACAGCAGCTGCCTGAATTCTGAGCTAATTGCCTGCTACACAATTACCTGTAAAGTATTGATTCAATGACATATGATTCTTTCCAGTTGTACAGTCACCATTTCTTAGACTAAAACTGCATTAAACTCAACAATTTGATATGTAAAGTTTGTTTACATGCTATAACGTTTTGTTTTTTAAACCAAAGCATACAAAAGAATTAGTTTTCTAGAACTTAAGAGGTCAATCTTTTTAGTATTTAGAAGAATAAAGAGACAACACTGCTTTGTTTTTGTTAAAACTTGCAGCCTTTTTTCTCAGGGTTTTGCATGCTGATAATCAGTTTCTTTCTAGCACATCCAATACAGCTGTACACAAAAATCCCAGCTCTATGCCAGTTTTCTCCTGTTTCAATACCCACCCACAACAATTTTCCTTCTTTTAATTAGGAGCTTATTTGCTCTAATGGTTTCCATTTCTATCTCAGACAAGTAATAAATAATGCTTCAAACAACTTGCAAGCACTGAAATGCAAGAGAAGTTCACGTCTTTGCTCTGGTGCACAAGATCATCTCTACCACTTGACAGAAAATTTGTTTTTACCAGCAAAAACATTTTCAAGTTTCTCATATTAACTTTCAGATTTAACATTTCAAGAATGCTAAAAAATTATCTGGCAAAAATTCCAGTTTATTTAAGAGTTCTAATTTACAAAGCCCTTTTGCCAGGAATTTTATCTTATTTTTAAACTAGTTCTGCACAATTTTGACTTGTCAGGAAGTTGCATCTTTTAATGAATCTTAATTTTATGAGAACATAGATTTTTTTAGATTCTGAGGAGAGGGTGCACTTGTTTTGGATAGCTGGATAGAATTGGAAAAGCAGTTTGATGTGGAAAGTCTTTATTTGTAAAAGTACAGGGGTTTTGACACCTGGGTACTAAGCGATGTAAATTGATTTTGGCTTTGCTTTTACTGCTGCTTGACTAATAATTTCCTCAATTTTAATGAGTGAGTTTGCAGGAAATTTACTTACGGAGCCTTACTCACTATTAACAACATTCTTGCAGGAAGAGGAGACAGTGTCATAAAATAGAATCAGAGTTGTTTAGGTTGGAAAAGACCTTTAAGATCATCAGGTCTAATCATAAACCTAACAGTGCCAAGCCCACTACTAAACCGTGTCTCAAGCACCACATACAGATGTCTTTTAAATATGTGCATTTCCCTGGGCAACCTGTTCCAATGCTTGACAACCCTTCCAGTGAAGAAACTTTTCCCAATATCCAACCTAAACCTCTCCTGGAACAACTTGAGGCCATTTCCTCTCATCCTATCACTTGTTACTTGAGAGAAGAGACCAACACTCACCTCACTACAGCCTCCTTTCAGGTAGTTATAGAGAGCGATAAGGTCTCCCCCTCAGCCTCCCTTTCTCCAGGCTGAACAACCCCAGTTCCCTCAGCTGCTCCCCATCAGCCTTGTGCTCCAGACCCCTCACCAGCTTTGTTGCCCTTCTCTAGACACACTCCAGCCCCTCAATGTCCTTCTTGCAGTGAGGCCCCCAAAACTGAACACAGTATTTGAGGTGCAGCCTCACTAGTGTTGAGTACAGCAGGACAATCTCTGGCCACACAATTTCTGGTACAAGCCAGGGTGCTGTTGGCTGCCTTGGCGAGTTGGGCACATTGCCAGCTCATATTCAGCCAGCTATCGACCAACACCCTAGGTCTTCTTCCATGAGGCAGCTCTCCAGCCACTCTTCCCCAAGCCTGTAGCATTGCATGGGGTTGTTGGGATCCAAGTGCAGGACCCAGCATGTAGCCTTGGTGAATCTCATACAACTGGTGCCTTGTTCAGTAAGGTAAAATAATACATTGTACATACCTAACTCTGTTTATATATACATACATATATATATTTGATCATAGGATCCTAGAATGCTTTGGGTTGGAAGGGACCCCTACAGGTCATCTAGTCCAATCCCCCTGCAGTCAGCAGGGAAAATGCTAACTAGATCAGGTTGCTCAGAGCCCCATCCAACCTGGTCTTGAATGTTTCCAGGGATGGGGCCTCCACTACCTCTCTGGACAACCTGTGCCAGTGTTTCACCAACCTCATTGTAAAGAATTTCTTCCTTATATCTAGTCTAAACCTACCCTGGTTTAGTTTAAAGCCATTACCCTTTGTCCTGACACAGCCGGACCTACTAAAAAGATTGTCCCCATCCTTCCTATAGGCTCCCTTTAAGTACTGAAAGGCCGCAGTAAGGTCTCCCCACAGCCTTCTCTTCTCCAGGCTGAACAACCCCAACTCTCATATCTGCACAGATATCTCAAGACATTTTCAAAGGCCCCAGATTAATAAGACAGAAAAACAATTCAGGCCCACCTCTTCAGCTTGTCCAGGTCTGTTTAGATGACATCCCCTCCTTCTGGTGTGTCAACTGCACCAGCTTGGTCTCATCCGCAAACTTGCTGAGGGTACACTCAATCTCACTGTCTAGGTCATTGATGAATATATTAAACAGCACTAGTCCCAGTACAGACCTGTGAGGGACACCACTTGCCACCACTGAGCCGTTGACCACTACCCTCTGGATGCGACCATCCAACCAATTCCTTATCCACTGAACAGTCCACCCATCAAATCCATATCTCCCCAATTTAGAGAGAAGGATGTTGTGATGGACCATGTCAAAGGCTTTATCAAAGTCCAGATAGATGATATACATACCTCTCCCCTTGTCCACTGTTGTCACTACATCATAGAAAGTCACTAGGTTCGTCAGGCAGGACTTGCCCTTGGTGAAGCCATGCTGGCTATTTCGAATCACCTTCTTGGCCTCCATGTGCCTTAGCATAGCTTCTAGGAGGATCCATTCCATGATCTTCCCAGGCACAGAGGTGAGGCTCACAGGCTGGTAGTTCCCGAGGCCTTCATTTCTACCCTTTTTGAAAATGGGCACAAGGTTTCCCTGCTTCCAGTCCCCAGGGACTTCACCTGGTGAGTTTAAGACTAAACAGAAATGAATGAAGGCACCAGCCTAGCTTTGAGAGCTATGTCCATGTAGATTCAAAGAGCAGAGGCCTCAGCTGCTATAAGATGATTCTTCCATTCTAACAGGTCTCTGACAGACTGGAGTGCGTTGCGCCAAATGACAAGTGGTCAGTGTACAACTTCAGCTTATACTTAGCCATCACTTATGATAATGTTGCCATGAAGTCTTTTATCTCATTTCTATTTTTACAGTAACAGGAGGATGCACGTAGTGATCACTAGTGTAGAGTCAATTCCAATTTGTAAGAGTCAAGTTTTTCCCATTGTAGAACAGCAGCATTACCCCAGCTTTTACTAAGACACATCATGCTGATTTCCAAAATGTTTCAGAAGATCAGTCATACCACAAGTGCTATAGAATAGGAGTACAAGGAGAGAAGGAGAACATACTCTACAAATTCACCCAACTTACAAAGCTCCTGCAATTTGATGGTGCTTTTACAGCTCTGGAGCTCATACAACACCTGCCAAAAAGATACATCATCACTTGTGGAGACTCTCCCCATGCTCATATGACACGGCATTCTTTTCCCACTCATTCTTCCACAGGATGGATCTGGATTGTAGGCTCACTGAACTTCATGGTTACTACTCTAATCATCCATTTGTATTGACTCTGACAGGAATTGTGGAGCTGTCTTGAAGCCTCAGTAGAGATCTGGAACCATGGAAGGGAGAATACTGCTATAAATGATTTAGACCTTTAAAGAAGTAACTTGGCTAGAATCAAGAACCAGACAAAAGTCTGAGATGCAGTCCAGCATCTAAAGAACAACATCACCCCTTTTTCTCCATCCTAATTTTTTTCTGCATGTCATACATTCTTTCTTATACTTCAGTATGTTATTTTAGGGGGAATACAAAACCTCAACAGCAGAAGCACAATGTTTGCAGGTCTGCGAACATGCCAAGCTAAAAGAAATTGTCCTACTTGAAGACAAATGGAGTTAAAAAGTGACCTCCAGAACAGAGCTTCATTAAAGCAGTCTGCAAACATGTAAGAAAGCTGCTGAAAAACATGTTTTACAGCTGAGTAAATGCAAAAGCAAGTGACTTCTCATAGATATTGACTATTATTTGCAAAACTGAAATTAATTCCTAATTTGCTTTACGTACAGTGTCACACATTTCTCTGTTCAATGACTCTTGAGCACAAGTACTATGAAATGCGAGTCCTAGTCATTTTAGGAAAAGCAGTCTAGGGCAGCCATGATTTCCATTCAATATGTGTTATTTGATCATAAAACTACAACATCTATCAAAAAAATGTGATTATTTAGGGATATCACAATCATATCACAATTTCATTTTGGAAATTATTGTGTAGATACTCACTGTACCTTTAAGTCATTTTTTAAATATTAAAAGCAAAAACCACTCAGAATTGCAATTTTATTGCACGTCTAAAGTAAAGCTAAGAAGTTACAGCTGTTAATGCAACTAGGCTAGTGGTGAGACCATGCCTTCCTATCCAGTGATCTTACCCATAGTTCACTACTACTAAGTTCCTCACACGCTTGGAGCAAAGCAGAGTTTGTGTGAGCACATAAGGAGATGGTGCTCTTGCCCTTCGGCCTCAACCACCAGCTCTCCCTTTGCCTCATTCTTCTCCTAGCAATCACCATTTCCTTTTTTGTTTCTCACTCAATCCTGGTATTAGATATCCTCTATACTTAATCCTTTATGAGGCATGCCACCTAATCTGCCTGTGTTCCTGTCTTGATACATAAGCATTTGAACTTCTGTGGTCTTCTTAAGTTCACCTGAGAAACAAAACTGTACTCCAAATCCCAAAATGCTGTTAAGAAGCTAAAGTGGAAGGAAAAGGTAGGAAAACTTAGTGACCATGGTATTACCAGCAAAATCTGCATTAGACTGGTTCCCCACCTAAAAAGATGCACTGAACATCACATTTTCCTTTACCCATAATGCAGGGCAGACACTAGCAGAAGTTTTCACCCAGTTGGCACTTAAATTGCACAGATATCTATCTTTTAAAGATAAAAGAAATCTTACGCCCAAACCAGGCTTCTATTTTAACATTTTCTTATCACCACAGCATCCAAAAAACTCAAACAGGAATTACTATGCTCACTCAATGTCAATCATGTCTGCCAAGAATTTGCATTTACAACATGATCCTAGAGATCAAGTGAAATACCAACAGCACGACTGAATTTGGCAGTGGCATATTCTCATACTCCTCTTGACAATATTAAAGGTTGACAGCAAAAATATAACTACATCGAGAACTGAACCATGAATGAACTTTCATCTCACATGACCTAAAGTCATATACATAATACTTTTACATTATTTTCATTGTTCCAACAGAGACTGCAACAGATGCAAGACTACGTGAATGTTTCAGCTAGCAGGGTAGCACAGCTTTGACTGCTTTTTCTGTACCATTTATAGGGATTCTTCAGCCTCAGATTTTTTGGTCAAGCTCAAGGCCTACCTTAACAGCTCAAAGACTACATTCACTTATATTCACATTCTCACTTACATTCACTAAATCAAAAAAGTTAGATGGAAGGACAACCTCTGTTCAAATACCAGTACTCCTTGTATTTAGTGAGAATTGTGGGGAAAAAAAATGGCAAGACTAACCTTTCCAGTACTCTTAATTTCCTCTGTACAAAGATAACATTTAATTGTTATCCACCTGCATGCCACAATCCAGGAGATCCCAACCAATGCTATGGTTTTTAGTTATGCTTTGCTCCGAACACAATTAACAAGAAGTTGTCAGAAAAAAGCTTTCCTAAGAGCTGCTCTGAGAACACACCCCCAAATCAAAGTTTTATTCCAAAAGAAGCTGGAACTTGTTTCATAAAATCAGTTTATAGGAATATGGTCATTTTCATAGTCAGAAAAAGAGGCATAAAACCTAACTCCTCCAATCACAACAAAACTCTAGGGGAAGCCTAACCTAAATTTAAAATCGAGCACCTTATTTTCTTAACTAATGCTGTCTCCCCAGGTTGTTCCTTATTTGATGCTTTGCAAAGAGAAAAACTATCAATAAAACGTAATGGGTAATTTTTTTAAAAAAGCTTTTCTATTTGGATCATTTACTTTTTAAAGAGCACATTTTGTATGCATCCTACACAAAGCTATCACAGCTAGACTGGTATTTCTATTTGAAAATGCTATTTTGGCATTGCATGTGTATCTTAAAGTTCAATAAAGCATTCGCATTTCAGTCCCGATTTAGAACTATTTACAACTATAACTAATCCACATTGCAAAGGGACAAGTTCAAAAATAAAAAATGAAACATGAAAATAGGAAATGGATCCAACAGTATCCTCTGATAGTATATTTGAGATGGAAGGCTATAGGAAAGTAATTTCTCCTTGCAGTAAAGAAAAAGGTCTCTTTCTTGCCCCAAAACCTCTGAAAAGTCAGAGAGAGTTGTGACACAGCCACTGTTGGTCAAAGGAAGGGTGGAGGGGGAAGGGAAACAATAGAATGAAAAAAAAAATATTTTAAAGATCTATTAAGCATTAAGACATAAATAATAAAAATAAGGAAAATTATATTAATGGATCATAGTAGGTAATTGCTTTTCCACTCTACCTACATACTGAAGCTCACTAAAATACCTTATATTAGATAGTATGGTGAAGGAGCTGTTTTGGATTCTATATGCCACTGGACTCAAGTTTTCAAAGGCATTCAAGAGCATATGTCCAAAATTAAATAAAAGCCTTAAATCTCTTTGAAACCTAATTGCAGTTCAAGATATTCCCTTCAAAGGGCAGGATCCTTCCAAAAATACATAGAAAACCATCTACAGGGGAACGAGAAGAATCACTAGATAAGGAATACCTGCTAGCATGCAAGGAAAGACCTGAAGAGTGAAGAATACCCTGCTCCCAGTATGTAAAGAAATTCTGTAAGTAGGGTAATGAACTGATCTTCATGATCAGATGTAATGCATTTATGCTGCAACAAGGAGGTTTAAAATTAGGCATCTAACAATAAGGCTAGAAAAGCGTTCATGGAGTGGTTATGGAGCTTATAGAATCTCATCCCAGGTTTAAAAAAAAAAAAAATCAAACAAAAAAACCCCAAACCACCATTTTAGACAAAGGTTTAACAAATGTGTTAAAAACAAAAGCATACCGTGGCCAGTCTTAAAGAGCAGGGAGTGGACAAGACTTCTCATTGCAAATATCACTCTTCTTTCTCCTCCCTCCTAAGAACTATTCTATTAATTTGCCAACTGATCTGGCAGATTATGCATTTTTTTTTAAATAGGCTATACTCTGCTAGCCCTTATTGACTTCAGGTGTGCAGGATCAGTAGGAGGCACTAAAAACAAAAAGCAGCAGCCTTCTCCAAAGTGGAACCACCTGAAGTATAACCATTACAGAGCCTGTATCAGCCTGAGCTTGTTTTTCTAGACACAGCTATCTCCATGTTCTCTTAGGCTCCCACTTCCTGCATGCAACATACTTTATCAGCAGTCACCATCAGTGAAATATTTTAATTAGATTTTGAGGATTCTTAGTGTTCTTATTTGTTATCATTTTGTTTTTCACAGAAATAGATTGGATTTTTGGAGAAAGAATTTCACTTCTGTCCTCACGTTAAAGTTTCTTGGGAGTTCCATTTTCTCATTTAATGATTCAACAGAGATAAGGGAAGCATATATGATGCAAATTTGTTAAATATTCAGCATATTTTATTAACCAAATCAAAATCTGCAAGCTTGAAAGCTTCTGTGCGATAATACCCTATTGAATGACCTTTTATATTTATTCTCTAGAAACCATGCATTAGACTTAATAACCATACTTCCTCATTATAATTTATTCTGACCTAAAGACTGATTTTGAAGTCCACATGGGAAAACTGATAATTAGTTCTCTTTGGTTGTAGTCCAAGAGAAATGACAAATTTCACCTTGTTTAAGACACCTCTTGATAACAGTTTAAGCCAACAGAGGAAGCATGCATAATTTATTTTTTTTTAGACATGCACATGTTTTTCTCCTGAGGTTGCACTACTATATTGTCCAATTACTTGTTATTTTACTCCCCTCTGATAACTGTGGCCTACAGAACAAACAGCCAGCTTTTCTTCCCTTCTCTTTGGGGACGCTTAGATTTTGACAGGATGCAACAAACTAGTAAAATGAAGTCCTTGACAGAACATCCATTGCTTCCAGTGTTACACACAAAGATTTTTTTTTTTTCCTAGAAGTGCCCAATACCATACATACATCTAAATGGACTCCAGCAAAAACTGTAAAATCAATCTATGTGTAACTGAAAATAAGATTAGACCACAAGATAAATAACATTCCTGTATCTCCTGTCTCCTTCAACAATCCAAGACCTGGATACTGTTATAAGAAATTACAGACTCATATGCCCGCTGCCATCCTTTACCCCCCAAAAAACCTATACATGGTCTGATTGCATACAGTAAAAATGCATTGGGGGGAGAATAAAAAAATCAGCAGTCAAAATGGGCCTGAGTAGTCCTGACTCTAGGTATACCAAGTCTTTTTTCATTTTCCCATGGAATCAAGATACACATTCTCTGGCTAAGCATCTACAGAGGATATAGAGCATACACAGAACAGAAGATTAAAAGGCAGTAACAGAGCCCAAGTCTGAAAGCAATACAATCCTTAGGGGAAAACAAGCTGCTTTTTTCCTAAAGGAAGGATTTCACTGTTTCTTTACTGTTGAACAATTCCCAACCTGAAACCACCAAAAAATAGAATAGTCCACAACTATGCCTTGAGAAGCAAATCCTAAAGTTTACTTTGCTGGGAATCCACAAAAGCTGATCTCCTGGGAAGAGGAAAGAAACTAACTACAGGCAGTTATCAAAGCAGAGATTAATGTACAAGTGCATAGAAGGCTTTGATGTTTGAATTTAATGCATCTGTTCAAGTTATTGTGTAATTTAAAAAATAACTTTTTAATGTACAGGCATTGGGTAATATTTCGCTACTCTTTTGGCTTAAAAACTGGAATAGAAAGTATTGTTGTACTTGAAAATATCTGTTAGTATCAGCATACTTTTCTGTTCTAACCACCTAAAATGCCATAAAATTTATTAACAATTTAACATGAGAATACTGTTTGCAACAACTTAGCACTTGAAAAGCAGGTATTCTCCCTCTTGACAATCCAATGTTCTATGTGAAAAATTCATGACGGGTTTTTCAAAGCAGTCTTACACTGGCTGACCTTCTCATCAGCTTTTTAAATACTGTAGGTGCTTCTAAACAGATTCATAAATTATATTGGAATAAACTATGTCATTGCCAGCTCAGCTGGAAACCAAGCCAGGGCAGAAAATAATTTATTCAGATTTATCCTTTACTTTGTCCATGGAATATTCTGTCAGCAAGTTAATCTCTTCCATAACTCCCCCAGGCCTCCCCACCCACCCTACCCAGTGGTGTACAAACTGCTTACTGTAAACATATTTATTGTAACACTTAGCAAAGCTGATCATAAGTAGCATAAAAGCACCGTCGTTCCCAATCTGGAGGAAAATAACTTTAATCAGGAAGGAAAAAAAAGACCAGGAGAATTCAGAATTTTAAACTGTACATTTGAGAGATATCTGATAAAAGATTGTTTCCCCTCCCAAGCTCCCCAGGTGTTTGTATCCAGAATCCCTGCAAAACAACTGGGCTCCAGTAAGATTTGTTTTGCATCAGCAGAATTGACATTTATTATCCCCATACTTTGGCATCCTATACATGTGGCAGTGGGCAAGGGTGGAAAGAACGTGAACGGTTGACCCATTTAGTTATCATTTTGCCATGGAAACACATCATTGTATTGACCTAACAGTGGACTTTAAATATGTCAAAGCAGTTACAGTCAAGATGGGAACAA